AATTATTTTGAAACCCTATATTCCAATAAAATAGAAGATAGTGAAGATATTGATAAATTTCTTAAGTCATATGATTTGCCCAGATTGACTCAGGAAGACACACACAATTTAAACAGACCAATAACAAAGGAGGAAATAGAAGAAGCCATCAAAAGACTACCAACCATGAAAAGCCCTGGACTGGATGGGTATACAGCGGAGTTTTACAAAACCTTCAAAGAAGAATTAATACCAATACTTTTCAAGTTATTTCAAGAAATAGAAAAAGAAGGAGCTCTTCCAAATTCATTCTATGAGGCCAACATCACCCTGATCCCGAAACCAGACAAAGACACTTCAAAGAAAGAAAACTACAGACCAATATCTCTAATGAACTTAGATGCAAAAATCCTCCATAAAATCCTGGCGAATCAAATACAAAAGTATATCAAAAAAATTGTGCACCATGATCAAGTAGGATTCATCCCTGGGATGCAAGGATGGTTCAATATACAGAAATCAATAAATGTTATTCACCACATCAATAGACTTAACGATAAGAACCACATGATCATCTCGATAGATGCAGAAAAAACATTCGACAAAGTACAGCATCCCTTTATGTTCAAAACACTAGAAAAACTAGGGATAACAGGAACTTACCTCAACATTGTAAAAGCTACATATGCTAAGCCTCAGGCTAGCATCATTCTGAATGGAGAAAAACTGAAGGCATTCCCTCTAAAATCTGGAACAAGACAGGGATGCCCTCTCTCCCCACTTCTATTCAATTTAGTTCTCGAAATACTATCCAGAGCAATTAGACAGACAAAAGAAATTAAAGGCATAAAGATAGGAAAAGAAGAACTTAAATTATCACTATTTGCGGGTGATATGATACTATATCTAACAGACCCAAAAGGGTCTACAAAGAAACTACTAGAGCTAATAAAAGAATTCAGCAAAGTGGCAAGATATAAAATCAACACGCATAAATCAAAGGCATTCCTGTATATCAGCGACAAATCTTCTGAAATGGAAATGAGGACAACCACCCCATTCATAATATCCTCAAAAAAAATAAAATACTTGGGAATCAACCTAACAAAAGTGGTGAAAGATTTATACAATGAAAACTACAGAACCCTAAAGAGAGAAATAGAAGAAGATCTTAGAAGATGGAAAAATATATCCTGTTCATGGATAGGAAGAACTAACATCATCAAAATGCGATATTACCCAAAGTTCTCTATAGGTTTAATGCAATGCCAATCAAAATCCCAATGGCATTTCTTGTAGAAATAGATAAAGCAATCATGAAATTCATATGGAAAAACAAAAGACCCAGAATAGCAAAAGCAATTCTAAGCAGGAAGTATGAATCAGGTGGTATAGCAACACCAGATTTCAAACTATACTACAGAGCAATAGTAACAAAAACAGCATGGTACTGGTACCAAAACAGGCGGGTAGACCAATGGTACAGAATAGAGGACACGGAGACCAATCCACAAAATTACAACTTCCTTATATTTGATAAAGGGGTAAAAGCATGCAATGGAGGAAGTATAGCATCTTCAACAAATGGTGCTGGGAAAACTGGAAATCCATATGCAACAAAATGAAACTGAATCCCTTTCTCTCGCCATGCACAAAAGTTAACTCAAAATGGATCAAAGAGCTTGATATCAAATCAGAGACTCTGCATCTGATAGAAGAAAAAGTTGGCTCCGATCTACATATTGTGGGGTCGGGCTCCAAATTCCTTAATAGGACACCTATAGCACAAGAGTTAATAACAAGAATCAACAAATGGGACTTACTCAAACTAAAAAGTTTTTTCTCAGCAAGAGAAACAATGAGAGAGGTAAATAGGGAGCCTACATCCTGGGAACAAATTTTTACTCCTCACACTTCAGATAGAGCCCTAATATCCAGAGTATACAAAGAACTCAAAAAATTAAACAATAAGATAACAAATAACCCAATCAACAAATGGGCCAAGGACCTGAACAGACACTTCACAGAGGAGGACATACAATCAATCAACAAGTACATGAAAAAATGCTCACCATCTCTAGCAGTCAGAGAAATGCAAATCAAAACCACCCTAAGATACCATCTCACTCCAGTAAGATTGGCAGCCATTATGAAGTCAAACAACAACAAGTGCTGGTGAGGATGTGGGGAAAAGGGTACACTTGTACATTGCTGGTGGGACTGCAAATTGGTGCGGCCAATTTGGAAAGCAGTATGGAGATTCCTGGGAAAGCTGGGAATGGAACCACCATTTGACCCAGCTATTGCCCTTCTCGGACTATTCCCTGAAGACCTTAAAAGAGCATACTACAGGGATACTGCCACATCGATGTTCATAGCAGCACAATTCACAATAGCTAGACTGTGGAACCAACCCAGATGCCCTTCAATAGATGAATAGATAAAAAAATGTGGCATTTATACACAATGGAGTATTATACAGCACTAAAAAATGACAAAATCATGGAATTTGCAGGGAAATGGATGGCATTAGAACAGATTATGCTAAGTGAAGCTAGCCAATCCCTAAAAAACAAATGCCAAATGTCTTCTTTGATATAATGAGAGCAACTAAGAACAGAGCAGGGAGGAACAGCAGGAGGAAAAGATTAACATTAAACAGAGACATGAGGTGGGAGGGAAAGGGAGAGAGAAGGGAAATTGCATGGAAATGGAAGGAGACCCTCATTGTTTTACAAAATTACATAAAAGAGGTTATGAGGAGAAAGGGAAAAAAAACAAGGGAGAGAATTAAATTACAGCAGATGGGGTAGAGAGAGAAGATGGGAAGGGTGGGGGGGATAGTAGAGGATAGGAAAGGTAGCAGAATACAACAGTTACTAATATGGCATTATGTAAAAATGTGGATGTGTAACCGATGTGATTCTGCAATCTGTATTTGGGGTAAAAATGGGAGTTCATAACCCACTTGAATCTAATGTATGAAATATGATATGTAAAGAGCTTTGTAATGTTTTGAACAACCAATAAAAAAAGATGAAGAGGAGGTAAAAAAAAAAAAGAATTTGCTGAATGACTCAATGATTAGACTTGCTCATTGGTACTGGGTGGTGATATAAACTAGTAAAAATTCTTCTGGAATGTAATTTGTCAGTATCGACATTCATTTAAATATTTGTAACCTTTGACCTTAAAATATTATTTCTGATAATCTATTCTGAGGCAATCTTTCAGTGAAGAAATGATGTTTATGAGGTATTGCTTATAATAATGAAATGTCAGATGGATTTAAAGTAATAATAAGAGTATGGTTAAGTAAATTAAGGTAAATCCACTCAAGTGAATTCTAAAGTCAATAAAAATTATTGTAAAGATGGCTAGTGACATGATGCATTCTTTTTTATTAAAATATTTATTTATTTATTTACTTACTTACTTACTTACTTACTTTATGTGGTGCGGAGGATCAAACCCAAGGCCTCACACATATTAGGTGAGCACTCTACTGCTGAGCCTCAACCCCATCCCAACATGCTGCATTCTTATAACTCATGTATTTTTTAAAAAAGTATTCAAAATTAAAACTATTTCTTATTTTATCCATTTATCTAGCAAAGATGGTTAAAAATAAAATAGCATCCAAAAATGAAAACAGTGGTATTAGAGGAAAACTTCCCTTTTATTTGGATTTCTGTTAATGTTATTGTAAGACTACCTTCCTAACAAATGGGCATTTCAATATCTCAACATCCTGCAGAATAAAACCCAGACCAGCCTAGCATTACACCAGTCTCCTTGAAACTTGTATTTCCAAGATGATTTTTTTTTGCCTGTGTACATATAAAAAAGCACAGAAATTGAAACTGTGTAGATCCCATGAATTTCCCATGAAGTGAAGCCCTTTGTGACACATTCAGAATAACCCCCAATTTCTACCCGTCTTCTTCCACCACCATCTTGACTTATATTATAATTATGCCTTTTGTTATTTTATCATTTTTGTCATGCACAGATTATCACAAAATATCAGAGTTACAATTTGTTTGGAACTAACTTAACTAAAAGGGAGCACTTTTCTTTGTTTCCAGTGCTTGTGATTGAACCCAGGGACTTGTACCTGGGAGCTCTACCACTGAACCACAATTTCCAGCCCCAGAATCTTGTGCAATGCTGTCAGGTACATATGTAGGATACAGCCCCGTGATGCTGGATTTCTGAGCTATAGAACTGTGACCTGATGTATGGGTGTTATTTTAAGGTCCTAAATTTGTGGTGATTTATTAATTACTTCAGCAACATAACATACTTTTGTAAGGGGCCTTTGACTTACTGGGAGAAGGCGTCCAGCACAAGGAACAGCAAGGTCCTGAGCTGGGACTATGCATGACTTGGCATGCTCAAAGAACAGAAAAATCAACCAGTGGGGTTGGAATGGAGTGACTGAGTGTTAGGAGATGAGGCCAAAGATATAATTAGGGATTGGATCCTATGGATCCTTCAGAATTTCACAGGATATAATTAGGGATTGGTTCCTATTGGATCCTATGGATCCTTCAGAATTTCACAGGAAGCTCTTGGAGAGTTTTGAGCAGGAGACTGGTATAATAAGATTTACATTTTGAAAGGATAACTCCTGCTAGCAAGTAGTAATTCCCTGTGGGGCGTTGAGTGTAGATGCATGAACAGTTTGGATCAACTGTACTAGCCAAGAAGAGAAATTTTTGTGACTGGCACCTATTGGTGAAGGGAGGTGAAAAGTGGAATACTAAATATATTTTGAAGATACAACGACAGGATTTGCTAATGGACCGGAAGTAGAGAGTAAGAGAAAGTCAGAAGTAGAGATGTTGAGTAGGTAGCTGGATGCGCAAGTCTGGAGTTTTTAGAAACTGACAGCATGCACAGGCTATTTAAAGTATGAGACCAGAGAAGTTTCCTGGGGAGTGAATATAATTAGCAAAGAGGACTGTGATCTGAGGCAAGCAATATTTAGAGATCTGGAAGAGGTGGTGTTAGGCAATGAGGCCTGAGAAAAACCTGTCCCACAGGCCAAAGAAAGAAAAGGTTGCAAGGGCAGGGAGTGAACACGGTTGGGAGGCCCAGGGAGAAGAGGGCTAAAACTTAACATGGAGTTTGCAGCAGGAACTCTCTGGTGATCTAAAAGAGACTGGAGTGGGAGGATAAAAGCCTGTTTGGATGATCTCAAGAGGAAATGAAAGAACAGTGAGCTAAGTCAGTGAGTATAGACAGCTTTTTTGTGAGCAATTTCCCCCCACCCCCAGAGAAATGATGTTGTAGCAGGATGGAAAAGCAGCATCAAGAGAGAGTGATTTTGTTTTAGCCAGAGTTATATCTGATGTTGAGAGTATGACCCAGCAGAGTGTGAGATTCCTGCTGGAGTGGAATACCAGAATAGGTTCAGAGGCCTGGGATTCAGGTCATGGGAGAGGAGGCAGGTGGATACACATAGAGGCCGGCAGGTGGGAGGAGGCATCAGGAGAGGGTGGCTATGTCCTGTGGCTATGTTTGTTTGTAACACAAACGCAGCACTGCATCATTTATAGAGACACCTTCATTGCCTCAGTGAAGTAGATCTTAAATATCTAACATGCAAAGAAAATAATACTTCAAAGAGATGAAGTATCTTGCCTTTGGTCAGCCATTGGGAAGGTCGGAGTTGGAGGTCAGGTCTCTAAGACCAACTGCAGACAGAGAATGTGGGAGGGTAGCTGCTTAGAACATCTGGAGTCAGTCGTGTGAGGTGGACAGAGCTGAGGAAACTCAGGAAGAAATAGATCTTGTTGCTCTGTGAACAGCAGAGGTAAGACACACCTAGGCTAAAGGCTCATAGGAAAAAAAAAATAGATACAGCAAGGAAGAAAAAGCAAGAACATTCTAAAAGGGATAAGATTTTATACCTGATTTTAAACACTTGTGTAAGGCTTGTGCCCAGAAAGCTCAAACATTGTGACAAACCTCTTGGTGCTCATATCCCAAATGTCACACACCTGAGCCATCTCCCAATGATTTCAAGACCTGCAGCTATGCAGACATTGACTACCTTTGTTATTTTATGGTGGGACATACACAGAGGCCCACAGAGCACTCTGTCAGCTGTGGAGTCCCTGCTTCTGCCTTGCCCCTTTCAGACACAAGTGTATTGTGTCCCTTCCCCAGGTACTGCTGCCCTGCCCATGTTCAGCAGAAGACGCCCTGTCCCAACCAAGAGCTGATTTCCCTGCCTCTCCTGGGGTGGCCAGTTGGAGTAGGTTCTAGCGCAGCCACCGGAGAATGTCTTAATCCCCAGCTGAGGGGCCTTTTGTTCCCTGGTCGTAAGCGGTCCTGTGATGCTCAGAGCCTCCGTGTTCATGAACCTTCTGTGAACCTCTGGCCTCACCCCTAGCTGGACTTCCACCAAGACACTTATTATATACCTACTGACTAGCAGTTCCATTCAGAAGGGGCTGGGATATCAGGCAAAGAGAACAGGAGTAGGAAAGAGAAGAGCCAGCTTCCAGTTCCAGCTCTGCTCTGTGACCCTGAGTTAAGCCCCTCCACCTCTTTGAACTCCTTTCTTCACATTTATGAGAAGAGAACTCCACCACTCTGCACAGAGTTACCGGAGGTCAGGTGAGATAATGTGCACAGAAATAAACTTAAAGCCCTGGACAAGGACAGGTATTTCTGCTCTTTCTTTCCTCTACCCCTGGCCCCAGGCCACTAAAGGCACTCTTTAGAAAACCTTGGGATTGATGAACCAACACCTTCCAACCAGAGGGGACAAGTCTACAATTTCAAGGTTACTGGCACAGACAAAAGGGAGCAGCACAGGACTCTTCACGCTAGACAACAGATGGGGTGCACAAGAAAATATGTCCAAATCCAGGGTTACTTGGTTCCTTCTGCAAGAGGACCCATTAGCATTAAATGGCAACAAGAGGCATTTGCAGGTTTTTACTTTTATTGCAACTTGATATGTTAGAAGTAACGCCTCATCTGGGGTCTCCCTAAAGTTAATGAGACTGAGCGGACAGTTCATTGACTTGCTTTGCAGAATTTATTTTATGAGTGCCTCTAATCCACATGGCTTCTCTGCTTGGGGACTCAACTAAGGGAAACTCCAAAAAATCCCACCAGCTTATTCATACTTACCATGTTGCTTCATATACAACATACACTCAATCAACGTAATTATTATTCAATTCTGGAAAGAAAACACTGTCTTAGAGACAAATTTAACCCATAGGAGCGTGCACATGGGCTCACACACACTCACGTTTGTGAATGTATATCCAAAGGCTCAAGTTATGAATTTCCCACACAGGCAGGGTTTTCTGTTCAACTTCCTATTATCCAGATTCATTTTGCTAGGGAAGCCTCTCCCCAGCTGAAAAAATCAAGGATTTTCCAGCTGTCCCAGTAGAGGACCACTGTTATTTTCTAAGACAATGCCCCCCAGCAAGGGACAGAGTTCAGTGGGCATGGCTGTGGGCCACATCAACGGGAAGAGACCCTACCACTGAATTTCCAGCTCAGTAAAGATTCTGATGTCCCAAATGTGGCATAGGAAACATGGAGGAAAGGCCTGAAGGGACCAGAGAGGCCTCAGAGTTGACTGCACACATGAACAGATGACCAGTGGTGGGTGCAATCCCTCGTATTTGACCTCATGTGGGACATAGAGCCTCTGGAATGGCTGAGGTCAGGTTTCCTCCCAGCTCAATGAAATGAGGACTCAGAGTTAAATTAGGTACAGATAGAGAGTATAAGTATTATTTTATTTATGCACCCTGAGTATAGAGATAAATTCATATCTATTCCAATGGAAAAATGATTTACTACCTAAATGAACACAGCTGGTTTGTTAAATTAAGCACTTTTAAAACCTAGTGTCCATGGGGAAAAGCTGAGGTGGTTGGAGTGGGATGGGTTGAGGGAGAGGTGGCAGGGATCCTTGGATGTGAAGATAGTAGGAAATTGGGTTTCTGACATAATCCAAGTACACAGCACCTTCTCCTCTACCAACTCTTCTGGGCTACTTGCCAGGTACCCTTAGGTTTTAGGGGACAATGCTGATTGTCTTTGCTTCACATCATTTTTTCCCATTGCCTGAGTTACTTTTTAATATCCCCCAGGAAAGAAGAGTCAAAAGAGTGTGTCTAACCAGAAAGCAGCATAAGGGCTTTGGATGCTTAGCCAGGCTCTTTGACCTGCAAAGAACAGAGTCCCATTCAGGTGAGTTCACCCTGCGGGAACATGAGGACAATCAGGGAAGCAGTGGATAGCGTGGTGTCTCACTCAGTGGTGTGCCAGGCCTGCAGGGAATACAGGAGCCTAGATCAGACATTCTCTCAGGTGTAGAATTTCAGCAACCTCTACCCTGCACTTCACTGTTAACATTGATTCAGTTCCTCTCTGTCTCTACTTCCTGTCTCTACTAATCATGGCTGCCTCTACTCTGGTGACTTCATGCTCATGATTATTACATACCTCTGGACTCTTCCTCATCTTGTCTGTGTTCTACCTTCTCTTCATTTCCTATCCCATCTCCGTTCCTCCTACAAACTAATCAATCCTCTCCCTCTAATTCTGGTTTGAATTTCTGAGAGAGCTTTGTGATGCCCCTGTTTGACGGAGCTTGCATGACATGTGACATCATGGGATGCCTACCATTGTCCAGCCTATGGACTTGATAATCTACACATCAGATGCCTCTGTGGGTCTAACTGGTTTAAGCTATGGCAGGTTTCATGGCCATTACTTGATTCATTAGAAGCCAGCCCTTAGTATGCGGCTGTAGTCAGGGCAGATTTTCAAAGCTTAGCCTAGCTGTCTGGATCAATTAGGAAATCAGATCAGTTGTCAATTACCTGAACCACTTTTGCATATCTCTTGGGTTGTACTAAATCATTTTCTAAAAACAATCCATTATTTAACAGATGCTCCTTCTGTTTTAAGAAAGGAGAGAACTCGAGATGCTTGACCCAGTTTCTACTTTAAAGTGGAAGCTATCATGGAGCAGCAAAGTGGACTTAGATGCCTGACAAGAGGGCCTTCTAGTTAAGACATCAGGTTTAGCAGGTTTCTCTATGTCAGCAGAAGAGTGCCCCAATTCTCCCTGAATAGGCAAGTATCTCTTTTCTTCATAATGAGAAACATACTAAGGCAGTTAAGAAGAAAATCTACCCAAGAATGGCTGTCCTTGCCACTCATTTAGTTTCACTATCCTGTAGGTCAGCATCCAGGGCACTGACCTGGGTCTGAAGCTGTCACATGCCTATACAAGACATGTCCCCAGCAAACATCATCTTGCATCTAAATCTCAGATGATAATTTGGCAGAGGGTTGTCTTGCTCACCAGAAGCCTGGACAAGGTCCTGTGGCCTCTATTGGCCTCTGGAGAACTGTTTCCTCCAGCTCTCTCTCCCCAGCAAGTGCCACTTGAGTTGGGCCCAAGGAGGCTGCAGCAATCAAACAGGCCAGAAGAATGAGTGCACTTGTGCTCAGTGGTGGATCTGGAAATTGGCTTTCTTTGGCTTTTAATGGGAGATTTCTCCAGCAGTTTTATGATTACCAAAGACAATCAGGGCAGTTGGAAATCTGGGATATTTGTACCCTTCACTCTGTTTGGGCCTCAAGCACTGAAAACATTAAGTCAGTTCCCTAGAGGGCCTGTCCCCTGTGGAGAAAATGTTTAATAATTAAAAGGCACTGTATGTCTGTACTCATTAATTTAAAAATATTCCCTAGTCAATATTCTTCGCAATGAACATGATTATTTACTGCTTAGTGATGAGCTGAACAAATGACGGCAGTCTTTTTTCTACCACTTGCATTTTCTATCAGGAATAAATAGTAGCACTCAACTATTCACAATACCTATCAGCTGCCAGTGTAACTTTAAATAATACACACAAACTGCTATTTTCAGTTTCATCAACATTTGGTAGTAGTTTTTGGCTGCCCCTGTGTTAGTTAGCTTTTCATTGCAGTAACCAAAATACCTGAGAAGAACAACTTAGAAATAATTTATTTTGGGTTCACAGTTTCAGAGTTTCCACGTATGGTTGGCTGACTCCATTGTTTGGGGCCTAAGGTGAGGCAGACTATCATGGAGGAAGGATACGGTAGAGGAAATCTGAAAGCAGAGAGAGAGTAGGAGGAACCAGGGACAAGATATAACACCCAAGGTCATCCCTCTGTAAGCAAGTGGGGCACAGCCTCCAGCCATGCCTTATCTGTTAACAGTTATCACACAGACTACATTCAGATATCAATGGATTAATCCATTTGCTGGATTAATCCAGCAAATGGATTAATCCACTGATAAGGTAAGAGTCCTAATCATTGCCTAAAAGCCCCACCTATGTATCCTGGGGCTCATGACTTCAAAAATAATTGGGGGATTTCAAAACATGAGCCTCTTGGTAGATATTCAAGATCCAAACCATAACAACCACCTACAAGTTGAGAATCTTACAGTAAGTCCTTAACTTACTGTCCTTACTTCTTTTCTTATCCACATTCTGTTGTTTATTTTCCTTTATATGGTTGGTGATAATAACATTTAAATGCTATTCTACAAATTTTAAGACTTTCACACTTTGTTTACAGGTTGAATCTAAACACTAATAAGCCAATAAATACTTTACATTTTAACTACTATGTAAATACTGTTTATCACAGAGTCAGAAGGTATCACATAATTACTTTTCCTTTTCTACAGGTAAAATGTCATCACCTTTGGGACATTTGGAGAACATTGTTAGTATCAAGTTCAAGCAGATTCTCTGCCCTCATACTCAAGCCATATCCTGGTCATGTTACAATATAGTGAACCTTCTGTGTGACCCATGACTTTGTTCTGTTTGGTTTTTCCAGAAATTTCTAATTGCCTTTTATTTTTCTTATTGAAACATTAATAAAGAGCTTAAGTGTCTTCGATTATTTCCAGTCTCTTAATGATAACATTGCATGGAATCTCCATTTTTACACAGAGAAAATTTGAAAAACTCTCCCATTCTTAGACCAATTGTTTTTTACAGACCTGAAGGGCCACTGTCTGGCTGAACATTTCTTCACCACATTATTGTGTTAGAAGAACTCTCTCCTCCATCATGGCCTTCTTTCTCCCTGTTTTCCTAGAACCACTTCCTTATTTTATCAGGAAAATATCTCAAGTCCTTGTATGTCTATAAACTGTATTTTGTCCTTCTACTTGATGGATACTTTTGCAGAGTACAGAATTCTAGGTCAAATGAAAGCTAGTTCAAAATAATTTTCCTTAGAACTTTACAGCATTGCTCCATCATTTCTAGCATCCAGAGATGCCCATGCCAGCTGATTTTTTTGTTATAATGCATGCTATTTATTTGCTAGTTTGTTTCACTCTGAAAATTCTTATTTTTTTAAATTTGACCCTTCTAGTTTGATGAGATTATTCTTATAATTGGATATTCTCCTTTTCATGCTGCTCAGCATTTGATGAGCCCTGTCAAGATTAACACTTATGCCTTTTATCAACTCTTAGAAATCATCCTCATAACTGCAAAACTTTCTACCCTGTATTACATAGTCTAAATCCTGGAACTCCCATTGGTCATATGTTGAATCCTAAAATGTTCATTTTTCTTATTTTCTATTCACGTTTTATACGTATCTTTCTTTATTTTGGAAGATTGCCTTGATTTTATAATCAAAACTTGCAGTTGATTTTAAGGTTTTTTTTTTTACAGAGTATTTTATTCCAAGAGTTAATTCTTTGATTATTCCTTTATCATGTCATTCTATTCTTGCCTTAAACGCCAGGTCTTCTCAATTCTTTCTCAGAGTATCATCAGATTTTTTAAGGTTATCTTCTGTTTCCTTGAACAGCTCTGCCTCCTCCAGGGTCAGTTCTTTTTATTTCAGTCTTTTACCTACTGCTTTTCTTCCTCATATATTGTTCATGCACATTCAAATTGGAGAGACACACCTGAGTCTTCTAAGTAGCCAGTATGGTCTTTCTCCTGCTTTCAAGGAAATGTATGATTATTCACCCCAACAGACCTACCTCTGTCCTGGATGGAGAGACTGATGATAAATTTGTGCATCTGGAAGGGGCATAGTTAATGGCAGTCTTCACTTCAGAGCGATCAATGAGGAACAACCTACCCAAATTCCAGAAATTTAAAAAAAAACCCACTTTATTCTGGGATAGCAATGCCTCCCCAAGATCTTTGCTTGCTAAAGATTGTTCTCTTTCTTTAGAAAAGTGCCCACTTTTTGTCTTGTTTTGCTTTTTATTTGTTTGTGTTTCAATTAAAGCAACTAGTTGTTCTACAGATGGAGGCCAAGGAGAAGGGCATAGAGGGCCGACTCCTACAGCTCTTTTCTTCCCTTTTGAGCTCCCTTTGGTACCCTCTTCTACACCGGTGGGAACATGAGTCACAAACTCTGAAGTTTCACTGGAAGATTGGTCCTTAGCTCCCCTGCAGGCCCCGCCTCTGGCTTTCCCTGCTTTGCTCACTTACCAACAACCTCTAATTTGCCTTCCTCTGGGAATTTCTTGAAATCTTGTATTCACCAATGATCTTTCCTTCTGAACCCTTTGCTGTTATAAGCTTCTTCCTTTTCATGTTTTTCTAAGTCCCGAAATCTCAACTGGGTCTTTGAATAGGGTGCTTTATGAATGAGCCCAGGTTTGCATCTTCAATCTGAAGCTCCCAACACTTGTTTTGAGATGTTTGGACAAGAAGGTGGTATTGCCCCTCCCCTAGGACAGAGAGGGGACATCAATGGAGGACATCTGTAGAGGATAGTTATGCCCAGAAACTGGCTCTGTTGTAAGAGCCATGAACCACAGATGTCATATGGCAGCAGGGCAAAGAGGCCAGACTAGAAGACCCTGAGACAAGTCCCTACAAGTGAGTCATCTGTCAGACTCTCATGAATAACTGGAGATCATTTTGACAGCAGAAGAGTTCACTTTCTAAAACTGGGCAACAGAAGCTCATTTTAATGTATGTATGAATAAAAAAGAAAATAAAACCTTATGTTGTAGTCCAAATTGTTTTTTAGAAATTTGCTTCCATAGAAATGTCAAGTTCAAATGGAAATCAATCTTTAGGACATAGAAGGTCACCTTCTGGGACAAATTTTTGCTTGGTATAAACATTTTGCCTACCAGAAATTTAACCCCAGGTAACGGCAGGAAGATATGGAAGTCGCCAATGTTTATTAAGATTCTACTAAATGTTTGGAATTCTATATATCTTACTTTTTTAATCCTCACAAAAACATCATGCAATCCATTCACTCATTCTTTCAGCTAAATTTAATGAATAGTTTATGTATACCAGGGGCTATGCTAGGCATCAGAAGTACAATTGTGCGTGAAAACAAACACTTGTATGTGGAGGAGACTGACTTTAAATAATTACACAAATAAGTATAAAACTATAAGTGCTATAAGGTGTTGTATGATTCAATAAAAATGCATAAATGTGAAACGTACCTAGTATGGGGAAAGAGACAGAAAGATATCACCATGGAAACAGTGTTTGGCCTGAGATCTAAAGAAATAATGAGAGTTAAGCAGTTAAGACAGTTTTTTATTCTTTTTGTATAAAAGACACTAAGAGACAATTAGTGAAATTAGTAGTATATTCATATTAAGGAGCAGAGGAGTATTCCAGGCATGTATTACCAAAAGATGTAATACATGCAAAGGTCCTGGGACAGGAGAAAGCATGGCATTTTAAAATTCATGAAAGAAGAATCATTTGGAAATCACCAAAGTAGTAATTTCTGAAGACTTATCAATGGATTCTAACACTAAAAGACAAAAGTTTATTATTTTATGTAAAAGTTCATTAACATAGTCTCAGAGTATCTCCCCACAAGGTTAATTTATCCCAAAGGAAAAAAAATAGTAACTTTACATTGGAGAAATCTGACAGGCCTCAGCTTAATTATATGATCCAAGTAAGATATCAGCACTAATGGGCTGACCAAACATCCTGATACAATACACTAAAAAGATACAAAATCACTTCTGGGATACTCCCGCCAAAAAGCAACAACTTGTATCTAATCTTGACTAATCATACACAAACCCCAAATGAGAGACATTCTAAAAATAATTGCCCAAGACTCTTCAAAAATGCCAAGGTTACAAAAGAAAAACTGAGGAATTCTTCCAGATTAAAGAATCAAAGGAGACATGGCAACTAAGTTGAATCTGATCTTGGAGCAAAAAGACAGTTTTTTATTCTTTTTTGTATAAAAGACACTAAGAGACAATTAATGAAATTAGTAGTATATTCATGAATTTATTTATTATAGGACTCTCAAAAAGTTCAGAAAAAAGAGAATGATTAGACGCATGTAAATTTTAGCATTTGAGGAATATGTGTTAACAACACCCAGGAATTCTTTATACTAGTTTTGCAGCATTTCTGCTAAGTAGTTTGAAACTACTTCATGATCAAAGGCTACAAAAACAAGAAGACTTGAAAGAAGACTCCGATGAGGTTCTATAGACAAAGAAGAGTGTGAGACAAGGGGAGGCTGAACTTGTAGGGAAAAGTTAAACCATAGAGTCCTTGAAGATCATGATCAAGATGTTGGCCAATCTCCTGGAGGTAATGAGAAGCCACCAAAAGGCACAGGCAGGTAAATGACATGATCAGACAGCATTTTGAAAAGATCAGTCTGGCTATTGGGCAGAGGAGAACCAAAATAACTAACTAGAAGGGAGACTAGTTAGCTGGGAATGTGTCCTGGGAATGTAAAAACAGAGTGGTGGCAGTGGACCCAGGTAGAAGTGGATGGATTTTAGATTTACACAGGAATTAACGTTTCTAAGACTTTAATGACTTGAAAATGGGAGAGGATGGTGAGGAAAGGGAACGGAGAGACAGACATGGGTTCCCAGATGTCTGGTTTTACCAGTGGGTAGGGGGGACCCCTCAGGTAAGACAGACTGAAAAGAGAACCAAGTTTCAGAGAAGTGAAGAGTTTGATTCTGGATGTGGTTCAAGTTCTCTTTGAGACATCCAGATAGAGTTTTTGAGTAGACAGGAACAGGGGCACATGAGTGGGGATGGGAGATGGGAACATGGTTGACCTCACCTTGAGAACAGGGAGAAGCATAGAGAAAAAAGAGGGCAGGGCCTCAAACTCCACCTCAAGGACTCTGTCTGTCATCTGTGTTCTTATCTTCACTTCATAGATGAACAGAAGCCACGGTGACCTGCTTAAGGTCACACACCTAGTAAGTGGCAGAGCAGGGGTCAAAAGGCAAGCCCATTTGACTTTGCCCAATCTCTGCCTTCCCCAATAAGCTCCTTCCTCAAGAATCTTATTTTTTCTTCTTTCTTTTCTAATTTTATGCAAAATTAGAAAGGAATCAAAATGTATTCAGAAGTGGGTGACATGAACAAGAGAGTTTCCTGTCTTCCTTTCTCTGGATGTCCAGTTAATGAGGTTCTTCTCAATTCCAAAAAATAAAAAGCTGTACTTTTTTTTGTACAGGTTTTCAAATAGTTTCTCTTCAAAAGCATATTAGACAGACTTTCTTTCTAATGTAAATAAATTCTTTGTTAGAGTTATGAAGAGTCAGAAAAATCCCTCTTACATACACACAGTTGGTTATAAATTTCCAAGGTTGGTGAGTTAGTTTCTCCTTGAACTTTACCATTTATCTCCTGCTAACATGTCAGCTAACATCTCAAGGAGAGATTTAGAACCAGCAGTGGATAGCTTAGCCTGACCCCAACTTCAAATTGCAGTAATCCTGATTTTTCCTCTACCTCCACATCCCAGGCCATGGCTACATGCATGGAAGGAGGAAGTGAATATGTTACTTAGAGATTTTATGTCAGTGATTCCATTAGTTTTTCTTGAGTTACATGAAACAAACTCACAGCTAGCTTTGGACATCTTGTAAAGCAGCCT